CAACGTGCCGCGAGTTTAAAGCAGCACCCAGAGACACCCTCCACTGCATATTCAACGTTACCAAATCGTCGGCTCCTGAATGTGGGGTAGTATATTATTACTCTTCAAAATCAAATTTTGCGTAGATCGAATGTCTTCGAAGGAATCTTTTTGTGCAACAAAACGAAGAAATCTCTTATCCATTCCTCCCGAAGAAACCCCTCAAAACACATGTATACAAGAGCACAATTGATAATAATCAGAAAAGTTTATTATAATTAGTGCGCTCAGTTATAGTACCTTGCTATGGTAAGCAACCTTACCTTTAGGTCTATATCTAATCGGTGGTCGTCCATCAATTTGCAATGTCACATTAGATTCAATTCGATGGATTCTGGAAATATTCCAAAAATGATCTTCATTTAATTACAAGCTGATTTTAGGTGGAGGTTACCTGACAGTATGCTTCTTATTATCGTTCACTTTATGAGCGAAATGTCCAAAATGATGTTCACGACTTCCCAGATTGTACTTAATTTGCAAGAAACCTTCTTCCTAGAAGCACTTCGATTTTTGTTGGCTTTCCCATTCTTCCAAAAACAACTTACTAAGTATACAGTGAAATAATCCTGATCCACTGCGCAATCAATCGATAACAGTACTCCAGAAGGGCGTGAGGTGCGAAACGCAAAAAGCATGTAGTCACGAGATGTCGAGGGTCGCTCACCCATTGGGTATTCAAAGAAAATCGTGGATGGCGCTGAGAAGGAGGCTGTGGTTGCAGCTGAAATGGTAATTGGTAGCGCCATCATGTCAAAAAAAAAATAAGGAGAATTTTCAGGTTCTAAACAGCCCCCAATAAAGTGCGGCTTCAATCATGCACGGCAGAAAGTAAAGATGTCCAAACAGATTCACTCATTTCTTAATCAAGAACTTATGCTGAATGTTTTGATTTAAAGTAAAATTGAAGAAAAGCTACTTTCCATTTTTCTAATATGGTTCGTATGTGATACGGCTCTCGTGAGGCGTATGTTGCATAAACTGTCTTACTTCAACCAAAAAAATTTTCCGAAAGTTTCTAAAACACAATTGAGGTTGTTGAGAAGGCCGTCACAAAACAGCAAGTTTTTGCATGAAATTCTTTTTTACTATATATCTAGGCGGGTAGAGAGATATTTCCTATATCAGCAGGAGTGATAAAATGCATCGTTAAATTGTTGAAGAGGATTATGTTGAAAAAGCACTGACAAGCGCAACTTTAGCGTTGGTATGGATATGCTACTGTTATCTACATTACCTAGAGAACTGTATGAAACCTATTACACCAACTTTCACGTGTCCTTAGATTTCTTTTAGTAAATAGGTTCTCTACAATACAAAAGTGAGGATATAGCAGTAGTATGACTGGTATTGGATGTTTGCTATAATCAAATTTAGCGAGCGCCTACCGTAAGCGTCACTGATCACACAGATCTAAAATCAACTAGGCGTACCTTATAACTCAGCCACTTGTCTAAGATCTTTTGACAAATGAATTTATTACACCTCCCCAATATTATTTGTCCTACTCTTGCAACTTTAATGTGCACTCGTTTTAACCACCTTCTGCTCTATGATTATATTAAAAATTCATATGTATAAGAAATTTCACAAATACAGAAAGTAATTCAGATTAATAAGCCAGAAAAGAAGAGAGTTTGTTTACTTATGCCTTCAATATTCTCATTTACCT